AATCAAGCTTGGCACACCTAGCAAGGTGTGCCAAGGCACACCATAGTGCAACTGATTGATATGCACCATTTGCTTCTCTCTCTACCAGGTGCGAGTTTCTCTCTCTCCTCTCTCTCTCTCTCTCTCTATCTTCTATTGTGCACTCACTTTCTAGTTTTATGCTTTCATGTGAGTTGAATTTGACGATTTGTGATTGCGGCTGTTGGTTTAGTTGTGTGGTGGGTATCTATCGGATGAATGGTGAGAGCTATTTATGACATATGGAAACTAGGGTTTTGGTTATTTTTTTTTTTTTTTATTTGGTGTGTTTTTTTTAGGTGTGTGTGAGTGGGTTCTCAGTTTCATTTTTCGTTTTTTATTATCTAATTCCTGCAGATAAGCGTTTGTATTGGGTGATAGCGAAAGGATCTGGGGATTGTTGGTTCGGATTGTGTGGAGCTGAGGATTGAGGAGAGTGCAGCAGAGATAAGTAGTTTGCCGGCCGGGAAGTAGTCGCCGGCGACGAGATGAGCGCGTCGAGGTTTATAAAGTGCGTCACCGTTGGAGATGGTGCTGTGGGTAAAACTTGTTTGCTCATTTCGTACACTAGCAACACCTTCCCCACTGTAAGTTTTTTTTTCTCTTTCTTTTTTCTTTATTTTTTTTAAATTTATTTTGTGTATTTCACAGTTGAATGGATTTAAATTTGATAATGATTTTTGTATAGATATTTTGGGCCCTTTTATCTTATTTGTTGATATATATAATTAATTGTTGAAAATATAGGCATATGACTGACTAGATGAAATTTGGATTGAAGGAAAATGTATTCAATTGAGAACAAGAAAATGAGCTACACTTCAAGAGAAATTTGATTTGACATAGTCTATATTTTAAGGGGGGAAATCGAGCTGGATGATCTTTGTTAAAAAATTTATTGTACTACTGTTTTTTTTCCATGACTTGGTGATTTTTTGAAGGAAATGTATTGGTGAAGTTTTTTCAGTTAGTTTTTGCTTTTGTGAGAACAGTTGATCATTTCTTTTCCGATGGGGAAGCATTAGGGTATTCAAACTTTACGGGGTTTTAAATCTCACCTTTTGAATATTTCTAATTGAGCAGTGAGTGAGTTTCCTTACGAAACAATCAAACGTCAATGCGGATAGTTTGTGTGGTTATTGGCACATTCTTCTGCAGTTCTATGGTTTCCAACATCTATTGAATTGAAAACCTCCTTACCTATTGGATGAGATTCTAATTTGTCTTGGCGTGCCTTTCACTTCAATGCATGATCCAGCAAACCAATTCTGTGTGATTTTTCTGGTTTTCGATTTATTTCTTTTATACTTTTTGCTACTGAACTTTCTTCATTTTGAATGCAAAGTTGACCTTCTGTTCTAACCGAACTTTTGTTTTTATCGCTCGACCTGTAACATAAACAGGATTATGTCCCCACAGTGTTTGACAATTTCAGTGCCAATGTTGTTGTGGATGGTAGCACTGTAAACCTAGGATTGTGGGACACTGCAGGTGTTTTTTCTTCTGAGATTTCTATTCTTCCTCTTTTCCTACTTCTTTTTTTTTTTTTTTTATCCTTTCAGTCAAGTAGACACATTTGTCATTGTGCAGGTCAGGAGGATTACAATAGACTGAGACCATTGAGCTATCGTGGGGCTGATGTCTTTATACTAGCATTCTCTCTAATTAGCAAGGCCAGTTATGAGAATGTCTCCAAGAAGGTGAGTCTCCCTTTATCTTAACAGAAAGAATATCTCACCTGTGTTTGTATTTTTAGATTTATTTGATTAAATCTCCGTAAAAGCTGAGAGATAGGAAAAAAGAATGAAAGATTGACACCTATTATTTTCTTAGTCTTTCCTTCTAGCTTATGTATCATTCTCCGATCCATAAAAGAGCTGACCACTGCTAGTTTGCTACTAGCTTTCTAATCGTCCTGAAATGGAATTTTTCAAATTGCATGGTTCTGATATTATTTCGTGTTTTTTTTTTTTTTTTTTTTTTTTTTTTTTTCTCAATTTACAGTGGATACCTGAACTGAGGCATTATGCTCCTGGAGTTCCGATAATTCTCGTGGGAACCAAGCTTGGTTAGGACCCTTTTTCAATCTCTCTCTTCCAGTGCAGTGTAAAGTCTTTTATTTTATATGACGCCATAGAATTAGAGTTAAAGCTGTGTATGACATTACTGCTTATTAGAGTTTTATGTGATTCTTTAATGCTCTGTGATTGCTTCTCTGTGTTAAATCTTACATAAGGGTCATGTGTGATTCATGTTGTCATGCTTACCTTGTGTCATAGGAGTACTCTGAATCATTACTGTAGCATAACTAGCTTACCGGCAATTATGGTTAGTACCTCTGGATATGTCACTGGCCAATTAATGATAATATATAGGGAAAATATTGCTCTGCCTTTGTCTCCAACACACACACACACACACACCTACTTAACAGATACATATTGAACTGTCTTGCCCAATATCACAAGCCCTATAGACAGCTGGAAAAGAGAAGAAAGCAAATTATATGATCGTTCTTTCCTCTTTTTCTCCTTGCCCTGTTCAGAATCTTCTTTGAAGTTTTCTAGTGGTTAAATCGGATGAACAATATTTTAATTTCTTTCAGATCTTCGAGAGGATAAACAGTTCTTCGTGGATCACCCTGGAGCTGTACCCATCACAACTGGGCAGGTGTACTACAATTCTTTTTATGTTTTGTTTTATGCACCATTGCACTTCACATACCATCAAACTGATGGTTAGGTTGTGTTTGTTTATTAAAATAACTCAATCCATACCTAAAATCTAACTCAACTTTAACTCGATTCCACTATCCTAAATATTATCAATATAATTAAATTATATCAATTAATCATTTTTTAATATCAATTAATCATTTTTACACACCATATCAACTTCAATTCACTATTCATTCACTCACATAATTTTAACTAACTCATCACTTCACATTACCTTTTCCTACTTTTATATCAAATCAACTATAATTATTTTATTCTAAATGTGACTTAAATATAAACTCAAAATCCCACTAACAACTAATCATACCACATTTTTCAAAATTAGTCTTGGTTAAAAAAAAAAAAAAAAAAAAAAAAAAAAAAAAAACTTGTTTTGAGCAGATATATTTGAATATCAATTTGTTTACCCTCCTAACTTCTATCTCTTTTTCCTTTGAAGGGAGAGGAATTGAAGAAGTCGATTGGGGCTTCTGCTTACATTGAGTGCAGTGCCAAGACACAACAGGTTTTTCCAAATTTACTTGGATAACATATAAATTAAACTGTGGGGTTAGTCAAGATTCCTGTCTAGTTACAGAAAAAGGAAACCTTTTACCTTTTGGAATTACGAATAACCTCTAGTAACTTTTATTATCATAACAAGTAGCTAATCGGGTGTTATTCACATGATGTTTTTTTTCTAAATATTGCAGAATGTGAAGGCTGTCTTTGATGCGGCAATTAAGGTTGTTTTGCAGCCACCGAAGCAAAAGAAGAGGAAGAAGAGAAAGGGTCACAAGGCCTGCAGTATACTCTAGCTGCATATCGAAACGCACCTAAAGGGAGGCTCGAATCTCGTGGTTCACTTTCCTGTGTTAGTGTTCCTAACCATTTTCTTGGTTGAGGTTGCAATAACTTGTCAATTATTGGCTTGTTATTATACTTATGATAAGGCTCTTGAAGCATCACATTCAAGTAATTGGTTTGTAATCTTTTAGCTGTAGCTCAGGACAAATATGTTTGTGTGATTGAGTTGTGTGGTTATATCAGAAGTTAACTCTGTTTAGGCATTAGATTGACTGAGTTTGTGCTTTGGTATTATGTTTGTTTATACATAAGATACATATATCTTCTATTGCTATTGATGTTAATGATTCTCCCTAATTCGGGTAATCTATTGCTAACGGTTTTGCTATAGAGCCATCGGATGGCTCGGGTTATGAAGCAATACATTGTTATTCGCAAATGATTTATTGACACTTGTCGTGCAATAAATGCACATTGGATATGTGTCAGTGCATAAAGTTATGAATGACTTCATAAAGGAGTCATCCGATGGCTCCATAGAATTACTGCTATTGCTGAATGTTCATATGCAGCTATAATTATTTGTCCTTGGGTTGATAGTTGTCTATTTTTAGCTCCAAAATATCCACATACATACCTAAAACGAGTAGTAGTATAATCAATAATTGTTATAAAATACGGGGAATATAAAGAACACAATGTATAAAAACCAGATATAAACTGTAACAGACTTTCTTTCACTTTACTTTTCCGTACAAAATCACAATGGTTCTCTTGCCTTTTATAGGCAAAGTCATGCACGCACTTCTATACATACACACATTACAATGTATTGTGATAAGATAATGTAAATAAGATTTACTAGTGGTAATTCCACTTTTACATAACACTCTCCCTTGAAATTACCACTATTAAACGTGCGTTTATGCTGCCTCGTTAAAAACCTTATCTGGAAAAACCCTGTGGGAAAAAACCGAGATAAGGAAAAAAGAGTACAGCCGCACATACTCCCCCTCGAATTATCATCCGTGCAAATCCCGAAGATGTCTCATTCCAATATTGTGCACGTGCTTTCGAAATATTGTCGTCGGAAGCGCCTTCGTAAACAAATCTGCTGCATTATCGCTTGATTGGATGTATTGAATTTTGATTTGTTTGTTTCTTTCAAGCTCTTGCGCATATAAGAATAACTTTGGGCGGGATATGTTTAGTTCTGTCATTCTTGATGTATCCTTGTTTTGTTTGAGCGACACATGCTGCATTGTCTTCGAATATCACCGTCGGGTCATTAT